GAAAATAACTTTAAAAAATAGTTTTCATTGGTTTATAATTGCTATACAAATTTTAAATCGATATTTTTTTCCGTTCTCCATAAACTTCTAATGAATCATTATTCTATTAATAAATTGTTTAAATCTAAAAAAGTGCTATTTTTTAATTTTACTTAGTTATATAATTTTAAGATTTCGATTTTTAAAAAATATAAAAAAATGTGGTTTTTGCAGGAACCAGACTTTTTAATATTTTTATCATGATGTTCAACTTTAATACAAGATAAAATAAATAATATCTACCATGAATCATTACAAAAAATGCCTGGAATTTTATCATTTTTCACCAACAAATAAACCGTAAATAGTAGGTAGTGGAAAATCTTTTAAAGTGTTTTGTGAAAAAATGACTCCTGCTCCTTATTATGTTATTTTTATTGTAGACAAGCAGTAAGTAATTACTCCTTTCTTAGGTTTTAAGGCAATTTAGTATAATGTAGGTTTATATATAGGGTGTACAGTACAGTATAGTTCTAGCCACACCGACTCAACTTTATTTTAATTAATAGCTCTTGAAAGTTGCTATTTGTATAATTATTTATTTTAATGTCCGTTACAAAAATAAGGTCATTAAATATTAATAAAAAAACTGGAGACAAATAATTCCAATAAAAATGGGAAACTTTTTTATTATTAATTTTAACAAAAAAACTTATTCTTCGTAAAAAGTTCTGCGTGTTCTAAAATCTAAAATACAATCATCAGATATAAAAAATGTCACTCGTATACGTGGTTTGTCAAGAAATATACCCCTGATAGCACACTTTATTCTAAGAATGTTTTTTAAACCTTCCAGTGAGAATATTCTTAGGATCATGCTTTATTTCTTCTAAAGAGCATGCTTAAAAGACATATAGCATGATCCTAAGAATATTCTTACTGGCCTATAGGCAGGTTCTTGGAAGGTGCAAAGTTTTAGTGGTAAAAATAAGTCTACTCTAAACATATGCTTAGAATGTTAAAAAAGTAATTGCTATAGAAAGTTCATTTAGGAATATTCCTGTTAAGCATATTTAGTTCAGTTACCTATATAATAGTAAAATATACCATAAACTACGTATAAAGGTATATACCTATACTTAAGTACCTAATTAGTAATCAGTATTAAATACTAAGTAAAAAACACAATCCAAAATATTTTTTTATAGTTATTTGTCAAATTAAAACAATATTCGATAACAAAAATACTTTTACTATAGGTTTTTTATTTCTGAATTAACATTTTTATGTATAATAATCCTTACTATCTTCAACTTCAATCTAATCTGACTTATCCCACAAAATTTTCCAATTTTACTTTTTATGAAATAATTTCATACAACTTATGGTTTAAAGGTCAAATTGTTTATTTAATATTTTTAAATAAATATATATTAAAATGTCGCAAAATTTTAAGGGGACGACAAATACATTTAACTGTCATATTATGACAGCGAGGCGTATTTGTCGACTCCTGAAGAATTTTGCGAATGTAGAATACAACATATTAGAACGTGGGTATCTGACATATTTGGAAATATTCTTAAAAGCTTCCTAGAAGCTCCATAAGAAACCTTCTAAGAACATTCCAAAAACGTATTCTTAAAATGTTCTTGAGATGCTTTTTAGAAATGTTTTAAGAAGCTTTTAAGAATCTAATTGCATCATCAAAAGGGTATCTATTGAATGTTTTAAAAGCTCCTAAGAACATTCTTAGCAATAAGGGAAGGTTCTAAGAATATTATATTATTCCGAGTAATATCTTCTTAGAAGATTCTTAAAATCAAATTTTGCTATCAGGGACCAAGTTCGAAAAGTTCATTTAAAACGTTGGCATTTAACCATATCCTTTATAGGATTTGATTTAAATTTCGTATCGTAACGAAGAATTCCTTAAAGCTGATGGTTAACAGGTGTCCTTTTAGAGGGCAATTCCAACTAAATAGCGAAATGATTCTACCGGTCGGGTAAATTGAATTTTTTTATCGTTAGAATTGCAATGAGGCAGGCTAGCTTCGATTACTCGGCCTATAACAGGATTATCAACCCATTGAATCCTGAGACATGCATTTTGCATTTTAAGGGCACAGGTAAAAGATTACCTGTCGCGTTCTATTAGAATCGCGGTTAATTCATTTAAGATGACAAAAGTAAGTTAATATAAGTACACAGTTAAATATTTATAAATGTATAAAATGTAAAAATGTATACATATACTTTCTAGTGTTTATAACTTAAATGATATATGTTACTTGTTACAAACATTATAATAATTTCAAAAAAATTAACTAACGTTAATGTGTTAAAAGGTCCTACACAAATAAGAATGTTAAATAATAATTTTTTGTACTTTGTACCTAGTATAATAATATAGTTAATGTTACGAGAAAATTAAGTTAATTTCAATATAATACATTACTTTAAACTCCTAAACAAGTATTCATCTAAATCAAAAATATTTGTTAAAAATTATAACCTTTTTTGTAATAATAAATATTTTTAAGTCAATTTTGCTAAACTCAATGGTTTGGGAGTTCTGAGCCTAAATCTTGCTGAGGAAAAAAAAAATAAAATTGCGATGATAGACCTCTTAATATTAATAATATGGACTCAAACTTTAACAATAATTTTTTTTTGTCACCCCAAACCATATTTTCGATATACCTACTTTTCAAAAAAAAAAGTGACAGTGACATTTCTATGCAGTAGACTTGGCAAATAAATTTTTGTCAACATTTACAACACAGTTTAGCAATTTTTCTAAAACTTTGTAAGTAGACTCTACTACAACCTAGAATTTTTTCAACATTTTGTCATAGCAACTAATATCGTTACCGACCTCCTTAAACACCCTGTATCTCCCAGATAAAATAAATATTAGATTAAACGGTTTATTATCAAAACATCCTGTGTTTGCAAAAATAGATTACCTCTATTACTAAATTTTCTAAATCTAAGGTAATTAAATGGAGTCTGAATAGGAAATTCTAATAAATCATTACCTTAAGAATCATGAAGAGGCAAACAATGAACAATGCAATTAGTGGAAATTGACTATTAAATCAATAGAGGCAACAAAATTAAAATAGGTATAAAAATAACTTCTTAAGCCACAATTTGCACTGAAATAGGGTGGAAATATAAAATTTAGGTTAATGAAACTTTTGTGTTCAAGAGTAATAATTGTAACAGTTTGTATCGTTAGAAGTATAGTGTAAGATGTCTCAAAAGCGCCCAGTCTCGTAAGTACAGTTTATATTAAGTTGAATTCGTAGTTTTTACGGTAAAAAATAATGAAAAATTGTATCCACCATTTTGAAAATCATGTGTTTTACAAAATTACAAATAAAAATTAAATTAAGTTAAATTGTTTTTGCGTAAGATGTCGAGTTAAGTTTTGATTCTAATAGCATTGTGAATATTTGACGAAACCTAATTATGTTTTAAGAACCCGAAACATAAATCATTTTTGACAGTATGTCATTCCTTATTTTCACAGAGAAAAGCCATTATAAAATTATATGGTAATTTTAATTAAAAACTTTACGTTAGAAGTCAAGTTCACTCTGTATTAATTATTTTAAAAGAATAAATTCCAAAAGCAGGTCTTCAAATAAGGTTTTTAAGAGGTTTTAAAAAAACTATTACGGCATTTTTAACCGCATTTACTAATTTTTTACAATGTTTTAAAAACCTATCCTCCGTGACTGTTACTCTTTCTAGGTTAACCTATATGTTTTCAAATATCTGAGGTAGCAAAAGCATACTAAAAAAATCAGTTCACTAAGTAAATTAAACACATCCAAAGCAATCGAATCAAATATAAAATATTATTAAAAATTAAAAAAATATTTTTTATAATCATTCATGTAGGTGTTACAAAAATTGATTCTATCCTCCGTGAATCTGTTTTTTCTTTAATTTTTATGCAACGGATGGCGCTTTAATTATTTTAAATAAGCAAAACCTCTGTTTACGACATTATAGATACATGTGATTCCTGAAGGTCAGTTATTTTTATGCAGATGAGAGTGTTGCTGTTTTATAATTCAAAAGTTTAAGTTCATTAATTTGCTATTTAAAAACCTATCCACCGTGAAGTGTAATATCTCAGTAAGTAGATTTTTTTATAAATATTTTATGAATGTACAATTGTATTTTTTTAAATATTAAGGTGTCAAAAGATAGAATAATTTATTTCAAATATACAAAGGTTTAAAAAAAACATACGAAATCCTAGCCTCCGTGAAGCTCTAATATTCAAAATGTATGATTTCTTAAAATTCTTGCATTACTGCAGAACTACTTATGTTTACGTATTAAATTAAACTTTTGTTTGTTATAAAACCAGGGTTAAAAAAAATTCGGATTGTTTTTACGAAAACCATCTTTTTTATTAAAATCAGATTTTTTGTTGCAAAAATGGCGGATGCGCCGGTATTAATTTAAAAACCATTATTATGCATTGTTTGGCATACGATATGAAAATTGTTTGTTTTTTAAAACTTTTCTTCGAAACTTTTATAACTTGCTGTTCAAGCTTGTCCAATTTAAAAATTCAATGCTTTCAAGATAGATGCGTCGGCCTTTCAGGATAAAATTAAAATTCCCAGGAAAACATTTTGTCGAGGAAAATACGAATGCAAAATTGAAAAATAAAATGTCAAGTCTTTGCATAATTTTAAGTATTATATATAATCACATGCCGAGTGCGTACTTGTGAGGTCACAAAATATTTTTCTGAATATGCCAGAAATTTCGATTCATCAGAAATGTTTTAAATTGCAATTAAAAGCATGGTACTTAGGTAGTTTTTTTAACAATAAAACAAAGGCCAACTTGGACTCATAAACAAAAGCCATGCGTTTAAATTAATTAATTGCATCAAACTTTGTATAATTTTTTTCTAAACTAATTTAATTTAAAAGCTTCTACATACAAGACTACCAGGGACTTTACAATAGAAAAAAACTACTTATTACCATGATTTTGTTTTCAAAAAAGTATCAACCTCAAAACACAACACAAATAAATCATAAAGTCCCGAAAAAAGCGCAGGCTTTCGTAGTATTTAGCCACGGAGAGTTCAGAAACTTTCACGTTGAAAGTCGAAGCGAAAATGCCGAGAGTTCGTATAGTCGACACTGGCGGGAAATTCTACCAAGAACGATCGATTTTTTTAAATATGCTCGGCTCCACTAATCTAACGACTCTTTTCGCAAATTTACCGGAAAACTACACTTTTGATATGTTCCCCCCACTTCTGTACCCCTTTTTATTAGCATTAAATTGCTTTCCCAACCATTATACATCAAACACAATCGTTAGGTATATATAAAGGCTTAATAATCAAGCATGCTTGATCAACAAACAACTTTAAATCAAAATAGCCATATTTTATTTTCTATAAAGCTAGCTATGTAATTTAAAGAATCCCTTTTTTAAACATTACGCTCTCTTTAAATTGCTGCCACAAATTGTATACATATATATATACATATATGGGTAGGTATAACAATATATTTCTACGTCAAAAAAAATCTTAATAAAACATTTCTTACCATTATTTAACAAATTAACTTATAAATAAATAAAATAAACTACTTTGGATCGCTATATCCATGCTTTCATCAAAGCATTTTGACGTTTCAAAATCAACTGTCATTTGCATTATCTGTCAAACGTCAAATAAAACCAACAGAACATAAAACCATTTAATGTAATGTGAGGATGTTCGATTACGCTTCAAAGACCAGAACAAAATTGAATTTCAAATACACAGCCACATGCATATTTCATAAAATATCGAAAACAAAGACAAAATCAATAGAGAATTGCATAAACCCGTTTGTTTATTAAAAATAACGTTATTATAACTATTCTCAATAATCCAGCTTATAAATAATTAACATATTGATTTTATGGCTTAATAAATGTACAATAAGTTAAATAGGGGATCATCTGGATTAAATTTAGTTCAAAATTTGAAATAAAGCAATTTTAGCATACAGTGATATCTTTTGGTCAACAACTAAAGTTTTGTTGATGTGACATCTATTAGTCGATAAATAAACTTACCTATCTCATTTCTCAGTAGAAATCATTATTTTAAACCACTATTTAACATTTTATTTCGTACATGTAGACTTAAAATATAATTTTTTTAATCAAAGTTTTAAAGCACAAATTTCTAATGCGATTTAAAAATAAAAAACAATAGGAGGCCGGTTTAAAAGGGCACACACTGTAGCCACCAAAGTAAAATAAAATCAGTCGTGCCAACATCACAAATATTAATAAGTTATATTTTTTATCCCTGAAAGACTTTAAAGTGTTATAAAGAATAATTAACGTATTGTAAACAAAATATAAATGTTTTAAACATTGACTATTTAATAAATATGGTTTTTTGGAGAGGTTATCTTGTTGTTTTTGGTTGTTTGTGTTGGCAGTAGTGGAATAAGTAGACTTGTTTTGACTCTTCATTTCATTTAATGTAGAGTGAAATTTTGACAAAAATTTATGCGTCAAAACATTACCTTGTAACTTGTATTTCCTTAAAAATATTATTTAATTAAACGTTTGTTTGGTGAGTGATTCGCAAGCGGAAAATGCAAAATATCGACTAATTCGTCTTCAGAAAACCTCGAGGTAGTGGCATTTCATTTATTTACCTATAATTTAGTTTAATTGTTGGTTATTGCAAAAAATGTGTTTTATAGTACGTAGTTACGTTGTTTTCTGTAAAAATTGTTTAATTTTTTGTGGATTAAGCAAATAAATTCCGAGAAGATTGTACTTAAGTTTAGTGTGGTTTATTAATCTAAAATTAATGAAAACTAGTTTAAATTAAAAATAATCTAGTATTTTGCAGGCTGTGTTCATTTATTTTTAAGTTATATACGTTTTTAATGACATAACCTCGAAAACGTGTGCACAATTTTGCTAATTTTATAAACTTAGTAATGTTATTATGTTTATTAGGTTATTTATAAAATAAGCGCGTTTTGAATTACTTCTTGAGTTAATTTAACGATGTATAATTAAAAATTAAGGTGTTAACTTTTTTATACAATAATCTTGGTAATATTTATAAGGAATATACCTATACAGGGTGTCTCATAATTTATAGTGCACAGCAAAACCACAGATTTCTATTGCGATTTAATTATTAGAAATGGATCATCTATGAACTGTATTAGTTAATTAGGTACTTGTTTAGATATATAATACTTCTCAAGAATGTTAACTTAAGCAAAGATATTAACTATTAGGTAATTTTTTGTGCTGTAGAATTCGCAAAATGGACAGTAGACGTGTACGCGAGGGTTGGCTCTTCAAAAGGGGCGAACACATAAAAAACTGGAGGCCGAGGTATTTTATACTGTTTGAGAACGGTTCCCTGTGGGGTTACAAGGACGTTCCCAATGACGAAGAGTGGAAACACCCTTGCAACAATTTTACAGTGAAGGGGTGCCAGATTATGACCATCGACCGACCAAAACCTTATACGTTTCTTATAAGAGGCCTACAGTGGACCACAGTGATCGAGAGGATGTTTCATGTTGTGTCTGATCACGACAGGTGAGTAAATAAGTTTAGGTTTAGTTTTTTATTGGTTAAAAGGTTGTCAAGTTTGAATCTAATTGGACACAACTGTTTTAATTTGCATGGGTAGAAGATTGGTTGTGTTTATTCTTTTTTATAAAATATAACTACATTTTTATTTAGTTTTTGATTAGGTACATATCATGATTTAGTTTTTATAACAATGATTGTTCTACACTCAATTGGAATTGGGAAATAATACGCTAAAAAAATTTAAAAATGAAAATATTGTTCAACTATTGGAACAATTAAATAAAACAAACAGATGATGCATACTTCCATAAATATGATTTTAAACATTGTTTACATCATTTGGAATGAAACTTTACTCCCTTTGAAATAAATAAAGCAAAAATAATTTTATTGTTAAAAAGTTCTTCTGTTCAAATTATTTTCAATGCAAAGTATTTATTGTATAATTTATGGATTTTCTTTATCATTTTCTAAAAATTAACGCAATAAATGTAAACAAAATATAATATTGTCAAAATTTCCATTACCTTTATACTTAGTTTATACAGGGTATCCTAGGAAAACAGCGTTTTGTATATAACATACATATGTATATATTATATTATAATTCATAAAAAATACATTTTTTATGATATTTCTAATATTGGTATACTGGGTGTCCCAAAAATGGCGCACTAACGTCATACATAGAGGGAAATTATTTTATGTATAAAAAATACAACAAAATTAAATATCTAAAAACTGTTGCTATGGGAACCAAATAAACAACGCACTACAACAATTTAATTATGAAAAAATTTTAACTTAAAATTGTTTTCTATCCTTTAACAGTGTGTTTCATTTGGATTGGCCATAATTCAGAATTTATTTAAAAATAATTTGTTTTTAAAAAATGTTGTTTTTAGTTTGTAGTGCTAGAAAGATCAATCTTTTGAAGAAAATTACATTGTCATATGTCATTTTTTATCCTTCTACAGTGTGTTTAATTTTGATTGGCCATAATTCGGAATTTATTTTAAAATAATTCGATTTTAAAAATGTTGTTTTTAGTTTGTAGTACTAGAAGGGCTCTATTCTCTTGAAGAAAATTACATTGTCATATGTCATTTTTTATCCTTCTACAGTGTGTTTAATTTTGATTGGCCATAATTCGGAATTTATTTTAAAATAATTCGATTTTAAAAATGTTGTTTTTAGTTTGTATTGCTAGAAAAGCTTAATCTTTTGAAGAGAATAACATTGTAATATGTCATTTTCTATCCTTCTACAGCGTGTTTCATTTTGGTTCGCCATAATTCAGTATTTATTTAAAAATAATTCGATTTTAAATAATGTTGTTTTTAGTTTGTAGTACTAGAAGGGCTTATCCTTCTACAGTGTGTTTCATTTTGGTTGGCCATAATTCGGAATTTATTTAAAAATAATTCGATTTTAAAAATGTTGTTTTTAGTTTGTAGTGCTAAAAAAGTTCAATCTTTTGAAGAGAATAACATTCTGATATATCATTTTCTATCCTTATACAGTGTGTTTCATTATGATTGGCCATAATTCGGTTTTTATTTAAAAATAATTCGATTTAAAAAAAATTTTTTTACTTTGTAGTACTTGAAAAGTCTTTTGAAGAAAATAACATTGTCGTATGTCATTTTCTATCCTTCTACAGTGTGTTTCATTTTGGTTGGCCATAATTCAATATTTATTTAAAAATAATTCGATTTTAAAAAATGTTGTTTTTAGTTTGTAGTACTAGAAAAGCTCTATTCTTTTGAAGAAAATAACATTTTCATATGTTATTTTTTATCCTTCTACATTGTGTTTCATTTTGGTTGGCCATAATTCGGAATTTATTTAAAAATAATTCGATTTTAAAAATGTTGTTTTTAGTTTTTAGTGCTAGAAAATTTTAATCTTTTGAAGAGAATAACATTGTGATATATCATTTTCTATCCTTATACAGTGTGTTTCATTATGATTGGCCATAATTCGGTTTTTATTTAAAAAAAATTCGATTTAAAAATTTTTTTTTTACTTTGTAGTACTTGAAAAGTCTTTTGAAGAAAATAACATTGTCGTTGTCATTTTCTATCCTTCTACAGTGTGTTTCATTTTGGTTGGCCATAATTCAATATTTATTTAAAAATAATTCGATTTTAAAAAATGTTGTTTTTAGTTTGTAGTACTAGAAAAGCTCTATTCTTTTGAAGAAAATAACATTTTCATATGTTATTTTTTATCCTTCTACATTGTGTTTCATTTTGGTTGGCCATAATTCGGAATTTATTTAAAAATAATTCGATTTTAAAAATGTAGTTTTTAGTTTTTAGTGCTAGAAAATTTTAATCTTTTGAAGAGAATAACATTGTGATATATCATTTTCTATCCTTATACAGTGTGTTTCATTATGATTGGCCATAATTCGGTTTTTATTTAAAAAAAATTCGATTTAAAATTTTTTTTTTTACTTTGTAGTACTTGAAAAGTCTTTTGAAGAAAATAACATTGTCGTTGTCATTTTCTATCCTTCTACAGTGTGTTTCATTTTGGTTGGCCATAATTCAATATTTATTTAAAAATAATTCGATTTTAAAAAATGTTGTTTTTAGTTTGTAGTACTAGAAAAGCTCTATTCTTTTGAAGAAAATAACATTTTCGTATGTTATTTTTTATCCTTCTACAGTGTGTTTCATTTTGGTTGGCCATAATTCGGAATTTATTTAAAAATAATTCGATTTTAAAAATGTTGTTTTTAGTTTGTAGTGCTAGAAAAGTTCAATCTTTTGAAGAGAATAACATTGTGATATGTCATTTTCTATCCTTATACAGTGTGTTTCATTATGATTGGCCATAACTCGGTATTTATTTAAAAATAATTCGATTTTTAAATTTTTTTTTTTACTTTGAAGTACTTGAAAAGCTCTATCTTTTGAAGAAAATAACATTGTCGTCTGTCATTTTCTATCCTTGTACAGTGTGTTTCATTTTGGTTGGCCATAATTCAGTATTTATTTAAAAATAATTCGATTTTAAAAATGTTGTTTTTAGTTTGTAGTGCTAGAAAAGTTCAATCTTTTGAAGAGAATCACATTAATGTAACAATTGTTATATGTCATTTTCTATCCTTCTACAGTGTGTTTCATTTGGCCATAATTCGGAATTTATTTAAAAATAATTCGATTTTAAAAAATGTTGTTTTTAGTGCTAGAAAAGTTCAATCTTTTGAAGAGAATAACATTGTCATTTGTCATTTTCTATCCTTATACAGTGTGTTTCATTATGATTTGCCATAATTCGGTATTTATTTAAAAATAATTCGATTTTTAAAAAATTTGTTTTTACTTTGTAGTACTTGAAAAGCTATCTTTTGAAGAAAATAACATTGTCGTATGTCATTTTTAAAAACAGAAAGCCTTTCTAAATTTGACATACCCAAAAACCCCTAAAACGATAATTTTGTAATAAAATTTTATACAGTCAAAAAGTAAGATCCAAATTGGACAAAAATCAATTTGTATGAAATTTAGCAAAGATTTTGCAAAAACATTCTGTCATTTCTTTGGGCATTACACGAACTACACATTCGCCTAGTTTTGTTACTCTAACTTATACGGAGTGTTCAAGAATTAAGGTCAAAAATATATAAAAAAATTATCATTATCATTTAGACAAGAATGGGTTGGCGCAATAAAAAACGTGGCCGACCGCATACGCGACGACGTCGAGGACATCGAAATGAGCACCGAATCGGGCTCGAATTTGGAGGAGCTGTGCGAAAAATTTTCGCAGCAGGGCACCTCCTTCTCCAAGTCCACCGGAAAGAGAAAAGTCACCCTGGAGAGTTTCGAGTTCATCAAGGTATGGGGTAGTTAAATTTTTTCTGACCTATACTTTTTATGGTTTTATTCAAGGCGTTTTGTAATTTTAAACATTTCTGTGAAATCGGAATTTCAATTGAGTTTACCGTTTTCGAGATATTTACAAAAAATATAAATTTTTATGACGTCACAAACCTCGCCATCTGACCAACATTCTAAGATTTCTATTGGTTGAAAATTACCCTGTTGTCAAGTTGTCTTGTTAATGATTTCATTCGGTTATGTCAGAAAATACCCGAAGAGGTTATGTACAAATACTGTCACTGTCAGTTGAGTGAAAGATGGTCACCAAATTCATTAAGTACCTATCTTCCTTATTACGAGGTATCATATTACTGTTTGATATTTTAGAGTCCAAGATATATCTAAAAGAATATAAAGAACTAGGCATTATACCAATGAAATGCATTTACGACAAAATATGATTATAATTATAGGTACTTACTTTATTTGTTTAACCATTCCACAAGATTCCTCTGCTTTGGAGTCCGTTATTAATAAATCACCTATCTAATATCAATTACAAATAACATAACAATAACATTGATTTTCAATAATCTAAATTTAAAAAAAAAACATAACCCGAAAAAAAGAAACGTCAAAAAATCAATTCTTCTTCTTCTTCTCAACTAAAATTATAGATCAAGTGGTTTTAAAACTAAAATATTATAACGTGGCGCCATCTATCGTAAGAATCTTAAACTAAACACACTGGCAACCATAGAAAAAGCTGGCAACGTTGTCAATAGCCTAGCGACGTAATTAGGAGATTTTTTTTGTAAATATCTCGAAAACGGTAAGCTCAATTGAAATTCCGATTTCACAGAAATGTTTAAAATTACAAAACGCCTTGAATAAAACCATAAAAAGTGTAGGTCAGAAAAAATTTAACTACCCCATTTGCGCTGTAGTTTTTTGCCGCTTGGCATCGAAAACTTTTCACGAAACTGTTCTTGTTAGGTGCTGGGCAAAGGAACCTTCGGCAAGGTTATTCTGTGCAGGGAGAAGGCGACGCAGCGACTGTACGCCATCAAGATTTTAAAGAAGAACGTGATCATTCAGAAGGACGAGGTTGCGCACACCGAGACGGAAAATCGCGTTCTGCGCAGCACCAATCACCCCTTCTTGATCGTGAGTCAATTTTGAAGTGTTTTTGGTTTTGTAAATCATGTTTTTACGTTTTCAGTCGTTAAAATATTCGTTTCAAACCAACGACCGCCTCTGCTTCGTGATGGAGTACGTCAACGGAGGCGAGCTGTTCTTCCACTTGTCCAACGAACGAGTTTTCACCGAGGAAAGAACCAAGTAAACGAATAAAGATTAAAGGAGAACGTTTGCGAGTGTTTTTTCGTTTTCGCAGGTTCTACGGCGCGGAGATTCTGCTGGCGCTGGGCTACCTGCACACGCACGGCATCATCTACAGGGACCTGAAGCTGGAGAATCTGCTGCTGGATCGCGACGGGCACATCAAGATCGCCGACTTCGGGTTGTGCAAGGAGGGCATCATCCACGGCCGCACCACCAAGACCTTCTGCGGCACCCCGGAGTATCTGGCGCCCGAGGTGCTCGAGGACAACGACTACGGCGGCGCGGTGGATTGGTGGGGCATGGGCGTCGTCATGTACGAAATGGTGAGTGACAAAAGTTTTAAAAATCTTGAAAAATAAATTAAATTTTTTAAAATATTGGAAACAAGATTTTGGAAATTTGGAAGCTGTGGTTGTTTTTTAAATTTAAGTTTTTTATAGAATTTTTAAAATAATTAATATATCCAAAATTTTTTCTAAAATTTTAAATTTTCAAAATTCTAAAATGTAAATTTTGGATATTTTAATAATTTTGCAAATTTTGATATTTTCTCTTATCCTATTATATCCTATTTTAATTTTTTTTTGATATATTAGAAATTTTTCATTCACCTTATCGTTTTATTCAAATTTAAGAAATATTGAAAATTTTCATAAACCTGAAAATTTTGGATATTTTAATAATTTTTGTTTTGGTTATTTTAAAAATTTTGAAATTTAAAATTATAATTTCACAAATTCTTAAATACTTTTTACAAAAATCTTGTTTTTTTGTAAATTATAGAAATTTTTAACATTTTTTAAAACAGATTTTAAACATTTGAGATATTTTGATAATTTTAATAAAATTAATAATTTTAGAAATTTGGTAAATTTTGTTAATTTTCATAACCTTGGTGTTTTTTACAAATTTTGCCAATTTTTGGAAATTTCCAAAAACCTTGTCGTTTTGGTTTTGAAAATTTAAAATTTTTTGTAAATTTTAGAAATTTTTAAATTCTTAAAAACAAATTTGAAAACTTTTAAGAACACCTTGTATTTCTACAAAAATTTAAAATTTTCTGTATATTTTAGACATTTTGAAAATCTTAAAAATATTTTAATTAAACTTTTTTTTTCTATAAATTTAAAAAAATTTGGAAATTTGGATAATTTTTGTAAATTTTATAAATTTTACTTACATACCTTGTCGTTTTCCACAAATTTTCATAATTTTTAAAATATTGGAAACAAGATTTTGGAAATTTGAAAGCTATGGATATTTTTTAAATTTTAATTTTTTTAGAATTTTTGAGAATTTTTAAAAATATCACAATATCCTAAATTTTGTAAATTTTGGATATTTTAATAATTTTGCAAATTTTATTATTTTTTCTTACCCTTACGTATTCTACAAATTTAAATTTTATTTTTGATATTTTAGAAATTTTGAAAAGCATAAACACCTGAAAATTTTGGATATTTTAGTAATTTTAAAGATTTTTGTTTTGGTTATTTTAAGAATTTTGAAATTTAAAATTATAATTTCACAAATTTTGAAAATGGTTCAACCCTCAAATACTTTACACAACTCTTGTTTTTTTTTTTGAAAATTTTAGAAATTTTAAACATTTTTAAAAATACCTTGTATTCCACAGATTTTGAACATTTTGGATATTTTGATAATTTTCTTGACCTTGGTGTTTTTCACAAATTTTGCTAATTTTTAAAATATTGGAGAAGTGATGGATACTTTTACGAAACTCTTGTTTCGTTTTGAAAATTTAAAATTTTTTGTAAATTTTAGAAATTTTGAAATTCTTAAAAACAAATTTGAAAATTTTTAAGAACACCTTGTTTTTCTACAACCGTTCATAATTTTTAAAATATTGGAAAGATTTTATAATTTTTAAAAATTTCAAATTTTCTGTACATTTTAGAAATTTGGATATTTGAATAATTTTTGGAAATTTTGAAAATTTTACTTGTTTTCCACAAATTTTAATAATTTCAAAAATATTGGGAAGTTTTAAAGATTTTGAAAGTTTTTAAAATATTGAAAACAAGAATTTGAAAAATTGGTTTCAAACAACTGGTTATTTTGAAAACTGATAATTTTGTAAATTTTAAAAATATTGTAAGGTTTCAAGATTTTTACTTATCTTGTCGTTTCCTAAAAATTTTGAAAATTTTGGATATTTTGATAATTTTAATAAATTTGTAAATTTTAGAAATTTTGAAAATATGAAAAAATTTGCTAATTTTCTTCGTTTTTTACAAATATTGCTAATTTTTAAAATATTAGAGACAAGATTTTGAAAATTTGGAAATGACGGTTATTTTCAAAATTTTAAAATGTTTGTAATTTTTATAAATTTTGAAAATCTTGAAAATTTACAAAAACTCACCTTGTCGTTTTCTAATTAAAAAAAAATGAAATGTTATGGTATCTGTAAAATTTTCTTCACCTTGGCGTTTTCTACAAATTTAAAATTCTTTAGATCTATAATTTTTTAAAGTGTAGAGATGGACATTTCTCTAAATCTTAGACTATAGAGTGGGGCGAATATTTTTCGTTCATTTTATTTTTTCTGTAGATGTGTGGAAGGCTTCCCTTCTATAATCGCGACCACGACGTTTTGTTTGCTCTAATTCTCATGGAAGAGGTAAAGTTTCCCAGGAATTTGAGTATAGAGGCTAGGGAACTGTTGAAGGGTCTGCTGGTTAAGGATCCATTAAAGAGGTTAGGTGGTGGTCCTGAAGATGCCAGGGAAATTATGGCACATCCGTTCTTTAGGAGTATCGACTGGAAGGATTTGTTCAACAAAAAGGTTTGTAATATTGTTAATACAAAATTTTTATCTAGGTGAAAAAGTCACAGTTTTAAAACAAAAAAATCATAAAATATTTCCACAACTGTACAAAATCTAACTAGTGTTTTTTACAGTTGTTGCAATAATTATGCTGATATCTGTATCTGTATCTCTATTATAACACAATTAAATAGTGTTTTCTGAAAATTATTCATTTTATTTATTGAGTTATTTTTGATTGAAAATACCCGATTTTAACGAATCGAAATATTTTAAAGAACTAAAAAAGTCTTAGTGATAAAATTTTAAACACATTGTTTTACAACCAAAATAAAAAAATGTTTTTTTACATTTTTTGGATTTTTAAAATGTCAGAATAAAAATAAATATTTAAAGATAAAAATCAAATAGCCAGATGTTAAAAAACAATTTGTCGGTCGAGCAAATCTTGACACAGCGGATTTATTCCTTCAGATTCCGCCCCCGTTCAAACCGCAAGTGCTCAACGACACCGACACGCGCTACTTCCCCGAAGAGTTTACCGGCGAAAGCGTGGAGCTGACGCCGCCGGAAAACGCCGCTCCTCTAGGTTCCATCCAGGAGGAGCCGAACTTTTCGCAGTTCAGCTTCGAGGACTTCTCCTCGCCGCCCGCCAGCGCCAGCACCATCTCCGGCACGCCCATGCAGGGCTGAGGCGGCGGCAACCGCGCTTCAAATGTAAGTTCCACACATTTTCGATTACGTTTCCCGGAATGTTGAAGTTTCACTTTACGGCCATTTCAAGCGCGCTAAACGCACGAATCACAAAACTGTTTTTATAAAAAAATTGCACATTATTTATTATGTAATATTTTGGCATCAAAATTGTCAAAAATATTCTTCTTTTATTAGGTTAAACATTAAATAAATAAAAACCCGAGAAATATTTTATAAAAGTAGAGATTATTTTAATACTTAACACTAGTTTACAGCCATTTTGCCCACCATGTCCCACTATGATTTTCTTGTGTACTTTGGCTCACTAAACGCGAAAATCACACTTAAAATTTTTTTCATGGACGCGTTTTCGAGATATGAATTTCAGTTGTTTTTTTTTTAATTTTTTGAGGCGTTTTGACGTTTTAGAGTATACTTCGAGTTCTAATTGAACGATTTGACCAAACAAGCACTTAAATCAAAGGAAATTGAGCCCTCTAGAACTTTCTATTGTATAGTTTTGGTCAGCAAAAAAACGCATTTTTTTTAATGCAATGATATTTCATTGCTCATTTTTATCATAATGAGTAATGAAATGAATTTACATTACTCATTTTTTTTCGTTTAATGGAGAATTACCTACTTGTACATTTCCCATTTTCAATTTTTAATGAGTTATGTAAGAATTTACATTCAATTTTTTATTTTAATGAGTAATGTGGATTTATTTCAGTACTCATTTTTTTTAATGGGGAAAAATGAGTATTTTATTGCTCATTTTTAACAGGTACGGAAATTATTTTTTGTTGTGGATAACATTTGTTTTTTATTTTTCGCAAGATTTGCATTGGATATCATAATAATATACGAAATATTTGTAACGAAAATAGGTTGTAGTTATGGAACTTAAATTAAAATTAAATTTTAATTATTTTGGAAAATTTGAATTTTTTTTTAATTTTGAGTAATGTTAAAATTTGAATTTTTTTCATATTGACAAAAAAAGTTTTTCCAAAATTTCCTTTTATTTATGCTGACGAAAAAAAAATTTAATCGGTCATTACCCATTACACATTTTTTTTAATGAGTAATGTATTGAATGTTTAATGAGAATTGAAAATGTTTTCCATACATTTTTTTTTAATGGGAAATGGATTAGAATTACATTTCCATTAAAAAAAATGACAAATGCATTATTTTTTACATTAGGATTTTTGCAACACTGTGTAATTAAAAGGTGTGGACAGGACAAAAAAAAATTTAACTTGTCCCATCCACATCTGTCAATTATTGAAATTATCTCTACTTTTTATAAAATATTTATAATTAATTAGGTACCTACAATTTTTTTTATAAAAACAGTTTTTATTCAAATTCAATATAAAATGGTATATTTTTTCTGTGGCGCGTGTTCTGGGACATTTACATTTTTAACACATGTTTTTGCACCTTTCAGGGTTTGTTTTAGTACTTAAATCAAAAACATGTACGACATAAAAAGGAAACAAAATAATAACGAAATGAAAAAAAAGGGAAAAAACGATAAAGGGATTGTTATCAGTTGTTGTGATAATATTTTATAATTGTTATGAGTAGGACTTGTAAATATACTGTATACTGTAATTTTATAAATGATTTTTTTTCAATTACTTTTTATATACACTAAAACTTGTTCAGTAGTCCTTTTCTGCTTATATTTATTGTTATTTTGGTACAATATGTACCCATTACAGTATCTTTTGCTGTGGGTTTTTTTCATTTTCACTGCTGTACATGCATTTAATTCCTATTATTTTTTACATACACACATGTAATTTGCATCCTATTACACAGGGTGTCCCAAAAAAGGCACAAATTATTTTAGTCTTAAGACAATTAATTAAAAGTGTTATTTTTGGGACTCCCTTTATTAAAATAATATTTAAACAAAAACGCAGTGAAAATGAGTAAAAACAATTAATTGAATAAAGTAAATATTGCCTAAAAATATAAGGTTGAATAAATATTAATGTTTATTCCTATAATTTGTTATTTTGTAAGTTAAATAAATGTTATATCATAGAATCTGTGCCGTGTTTAATTATTTATTTATTTATAAAGATTGTACAACAAAAAAACAAACATATACTAATGGAATAATATAATAATAAATAATTTGCCCTACAAGTATTGCAATTTATTTGGTATAAAAAAAATCAAAAAATCCCTATAACTTGGGCCAATCCAGCATAAATAATCAAAGTTAAAAACCCTGTGACCCCCGTTACTAAAGCCTTGATTAAAAGCCCCATCCAAGGCCCTGCCATCAACATTTTAACAATTAAATCCAACAGCAGCGGTTTATAACTCAAAAACACCAATAATACTGTCACGATGGTCTTCAAATTACTCTTCAAATCGTGTCTGGACCACAACCATACCAACGTGGCTGTTACAATGTGTTGCACCAAGGAAATATTCGATTCCAAGCATTTTTCAATGTACTTCCAGTCGAATTCGGCCCCCCGAGCGCCAACCCAGAGAAATACGGCCCTGGAAAGTATGACTTCAGCAGTTGCCCATCCTATACCTGCCGTTAGCACTTTGCTGTGTCCTTTGCCGGGTATTCCCGCCAAAACCACGTAAATGCCGATCAAATCCGCCAGATCAACCGTTGATTTAAGAAATTCCTACAATTCACAACCATAAATTACTTTCTCAGTGAAAATTGTTGTGTTCTTACGCCTATAATATCATTGCCTATATCGCCGACGTTATCGGGGAAAAACGTCGCCAAAACCAACATTTTAGCCAGCTGTGTGAACATGTAGATCATACCGGCTTGGAAACACTTCCAAAAAGCCCCATATTCGGATCTAAAAATTATTTCGATATCTCCACAAAAAAACACGAAGAATGTGATACTCACAGTCCGGAGCTCTTGTAAGTGAGGTAATATGGCACGTATATAAGCGCTATACAATTTCCGAAGTGGTATAAGGTCATTTTCTTTGATTAATTCGATTAATTGGCAGTCTTTAATTTTGAGGTTAATGACAGCGTAATATTAAAGCCCTCTATCGACATTTACACAAACTAAGGACGTTTTAGTTTAATTAATTAAAACTAGATGGCTGTCTGTAAAGTTTGGCGGTAAATTTAAAAGTTCTGGAAAATTAAGGAAAAAATGAAGAGATGTCGTACAAAAACGTAAATATCTCGCAAACTACCTTCACAAAAAAAAACACGAAAAATGTTCTACTCATAGTCCGGAGCTCTTGTAAGATAATATGGCACGTAAAGTTCTTTTTTTTTATCTGGACTGCGGCAACGTTGCAAATTTAGGGTTTTGGTTGATAAATACAGTTGTCAAGTTGGTCGCATTGATTAAGCTAGTTATAAATCTAATTGTGGTTATGTATAAATTATTGTAGGTTACATTGTGCAGTTGTCAAGTTGAGTTGTCGAAATTCGTAGTTAAAAATTTGGCTTTGGTGGTGCTTGGATGAGTAAAACCATATAAAAAAAGTATTTAAATATAGGTTGCTTTACGGCTCAGAAGAGAAAGTATTCCTAGCGGATAATAATCTAAAAGAATTTATATAAAATAAAAATTTTTTGTGAATGTAAATGTTGTCCAATGGTGAATAATGTGAAAATAATGTGTGATGTAATATTTATAAAATAAAATTCTTTACTTTTTTACTCCAAAAATGTCCATAAGGCGATGTACTTTTTCTTCCATTGTGGCATTTGGCATAATTTCATCAAAATGAAGTTTTGCCCCTAAAAGGGCTTTTACATTCGAATTCGTTGCTATTATTTTTGGCATAATTATCTTTTTATTTATAATTGACAAGTAAATTTTCAATAATAAATATTATTGTCAATTTGACAGTGTCAAAGTATTTAGCAGAAGTACCATTTTTAAATACTAAAAATACTAAGTCAAACTGGCATAAGCTACCAACCTAACAAAAAAACACGAGTCCAGATTTTAAAAAAATGAACTGTCTTAATTTTGAGGTTAATGACAGTGCAATGTTTAAGCCCTCTACTGACATTTACAGAAACTAAGGACGTTTTAGTATAATTGATTAAAACTAGACAGCTGTCTGTAAAGTTTGGTGGTAAATTTAAAAGTTTGGGAAAAAATAAAGAGATTTTTAAAAAGTTACAATCTTTATTAGCTATAATTAATAAATAATCACATTTGCATTTGTTTAACCAACTAAACAAATATTTTCAAAAATAATCAACAAGATATTTTTATACACATAACAGACTTTGTGTAACTAAAAATATGCTAAATTTAAAAGAGTATAATGATTAACAAAATAAAGTGGACCTGATCAAATTAAATGAATAATAAAATTATCGTACAATAATTTCATCTTGGGAGGGAAGGGGAGGGGGGGCAAATCTCTGTTGTATATGATCGGAATTCAAATAATAATTAATCAGTTTTAATTCGTTGTTTATGAGGTTGAGCACCCTGCGGGATTCCCGTCTAAATCGTCGTCTTCATCATTCGAACTCGAGTTTGATGACGAACTATTCGCACTACTACTTTCACCGACTAGGCGAGAAAAAATATCTTCGGAACTCGAAGCCTCATGAATTACCCTCTAAAAAGAAAAACAGCCACTCGAATTTTTATTTCAAAACATCGCATACGCCAAAGAAGTATCTGGTTTTCGCAACGCGTGAATTTAAGAATTGTCAACAATAAATTTAAAGCATATATGCTTTAAATACGAACTGAACAGAAGTCTTACTCGACAAATTTTGTTCAATTGCACAGCTAAATCACGCACGTTATTTGTGTTTTACGTTGCAAGGAAAAAACTAAAAAACTGGTTTAGTACTCGATTTCGATTGATTATTCCTTATATCATTGATTAAGAAACTCAACGCTTAAATGCTTATATAGTTACGTCAGTGTGTGTATTTTATCTAAGGGATCATGGTGAATTATTGTGTTTTTAATTGTAAGTAAAATTCAAGAACTAAATCGTTGCATTTTCATGTTTTGCCAAAGGATCCAATTCGGTAAGTACATTTGTTTTTGCAGAATTAACTAATGATAAATTTACCTAATATGTTTTATATTTAAGTTTGGACATTTTTAAGAAATTAGTAAAAAATAATTTTTGCACAAACATAACCTTAAAATCAATCATTTTTATATTTGAGTTCTTTAAAAAACGCCGAAAACTGCATTTTAAACAACAAAATATACCTACGAATTCATGGCAACATAATATTATATATAATACATAATATAATGGTATTTTACCGTTGAGTGGAGACTTTCTTAATCAACCCTTTAAAAATGCTAAATGCTGTTTAAATTTAGACAACTTATTTGTTTGACGATTTTTACTGAATTGAAATGTTTACACTTTAAATCACTACTAAAATGTGTATTTATTGTATCTAATAGGTACAATTTATATTTACAGAAACTGTATGCAATTTATTTCTTCATTCGGATTAACACTGTTTATTGGAAAACCGGTGAAAACTCAACCCAGGATTTCCTCTCGAAATACACCCAACAACACAACATTTTCCAGCTTCTGACAGCTGATTATTAAAAGTTTTACTTTTGTTACGATGATAACTAGCGATACTTCTTTAGCGTATAACCTCAATTATCTCGAAAGTATAAAAAACAAATGTTTGAAATTTTAACACAAGAACCAACTTAATTACCTCTAACAGTATACCGAATTTTAATTTTATGACTTCAGTTTTGTTTCAAAGATTTGAGATTTCGTACAAAGTGGCAAACTATTAACGCTAGAATTTTAAATTTTTTACGACGCCTCTAAAGTCGACCACGTGAAACTCCGCACCAAGTTTCAACCGTCTAACTGAAAAAACGTTCAAAATACAGGCGAAAGTGATTGCGTTGCTTACCCGTACTCTGGTGGTGCGCAGATGGCGCCACAGCATCAGCAGCATCTGGCTCTCGTTGACCTCGTTGCCCCAGGACATGCGCGACTTGGAGTTCTCGAGAACGGTGTCGGCCAGGTCCTTCATTTCCGGTTCCGTTTCGCGGGACGGCACCCACACCTTGACGTCGTAATCGAGACCGCTGGTGCAGATGAACGGCAGTTGGGGGTGCGGCTCCAGACAATTTACCTGGCAAACGAGAATTGTTTTGCACACCTTTTTTTTATTGATATGTAAACATCTATGCCAGGGCGCATATGTATTCGTGGCGTAAGAAATTAGTGGCTGTGTGTCATAATAGCCATGATTTAACAAATACTGGTCAGACAGATGTCAACGTGTTCTCTAATATTGTTGTTTAATAAACTATGTTTAACGCGTACAGTGTATTAATTAAAGTAATATAACAACTATATTACGACACTGTGCAAAAGTCAGAGAAATATAAATAAATTAATCCAATATGACGGCCGCCCTTAGTATGGGTATCAAATTAGGATATGGTGGGAAAAAAAATTCAAAAATTTTGAATTTTCAAAATCTTAACAATTTTAAAATTACCACAAACATTATGAAATTTTCAATGTTTTCAAAAAAATTTAAAATCTCCAAAATTTCCGATTTTTTTTAGAATTTCCTAAATTTTCCAAATCCTCATTTTTTCAAATCTCCAAAATTTTAATTCAAACAATTTTAATTTTTTATTTAATCTTCCAGTTTTTAAAATTCTTAAGACTTAAAATTTACAAAAAATTTATAATTCATAAAAATTTTGAAATTTTCTAAACCCAAACTTTTTTAAATTCACATAACTTTTATACTTCAATCTTCAATTTTGAAACTGCAAAATTTCTAAAATTTTGCATTATCAAAATCTTTACAATTTTAAAATTACCACAAACATTTTGAAATTTTCAATGTTTTCCAACATTTTGAAATTTACAATGTTTTCCCAAAAATTTAAAATCTCCAATTTTTTAGAAATTGCTAAATTTTCAAATTTTTTTAAATCTCCAAAATTTTAATTCACGCAATTTAGAATTTTTATTTAATCTTCCAGTTCTTTAAATTCTTTCTTAAGTCTTAAAATTTACAAACTTTTTTAAATTCCCATAATTTTTAAACTTCCATTTTTATAATTTTCAATTTTGAAACTACAAAATTTTCAAAATTCCCAGACTTCACAGAATTTTAAAATCTCCAAAATATCATAAATTCCCAAATTTTCTAAATCCAAATTTTTTTAAATCTCCGTAATTTTTCAAATTCACAAAAATTTTGAAATTTTTTAAATTTTTAATTCAAAATCACAATTTTCAAAATTTTAATTTTTATAAAATCTACTTTTAAAATTGTTAAAATTTACCTACTAAATTTTTAAAATTTACAAAAATTTTGAAATTTTCTAAACCCTATTTTTTTAAATTGACAAAACTTTTTAAACTCCTACTTTTAAAATATACAATTTTAAAATTACAAAATTTACAACATTTTCAAAATTCTAAATTTCCAAAATATTTAATAATCCTTAATAAAAACAGTATTTTTAAAATTTATATAATTTCGCAAAATTTTAAAATCTCCAAAATTTCCGAATTTTTTTATATATTTTTTTAAATTTTCTAAATATATAATTTTTAAAATCTCCAAGTTTTAAAATTCCGTTTAAAAATTTTGAAATTTTTAAAATCTCTGAGTTTTTAATTCAAATTTTAAAGTTTTCAAAATTATTCAAAAATTGAATTAACAAAATATTGAATTTTTATATAATTTTTCCAGTTTATAAATTCCAGTCTTAAAATTTATAATTTTGAAATTAAAAACTTTCATTTATACAGGGTTAGAGATGAAATATGCAAAAGTTAATTTTTCTACAAATTTGCCAATATTTAAAAAAAAATGTATACGGCTCTACTAAAAGTAAAGCATTTATTCATAAATAACATAAAAAATGCTCATTTTATTTTAAAGCGTGTATTTTTAAATTTAAAAAAAAATTCACATAAAAAAAAATGTTTCCAAAGCCCGGGGAAAAACGAAAAAAAAACAGATTTTCATCCCAATTTCTTTACATTTTTCAAATAAATATTTTTCATTTGAGCTTTTGTCTTTAAATTGTCAACCTTCTTTTATTTTTATATAAATTGCTTTACCGTTATTGTTTGAAATTTTTGTTTTAAATTTTTAACAAAAAAAATGTAGATATTAAATGGCAATTTCAAAGAACATAAATTTTTTAAAATACGACCATAAATAACGGAGATAAAAAAACAAAAGAAGGTCGATAATTTAAAAACAAAAGGCAAAAAAAATTAAACCCTGTACCGAGAAGAAAAAATTTATATTTTGGATTTCTCAGTTTGGTTTCAAACCCTCGGAATATGCAACGCAAATTGTTTATTAAAATCATTTTTGGTTAATTAATAAAAAAATTGATGTGTCGCACATTCTAAGAAACGTAAACTATTTTTTTCCTCTTTTTGACTTCATCCTGTAAGTAAATATAAACGATATTTGTACATTTTAAATTGATTTTTGACATAATAAAATAATTTTAACATTCTAAAATGTGTTTTATTTATTTGTTTAAAATTTTTTTGGTGGGAAAAAAATTCCAAAATTTTGAATTTTCAAAATCTTTACATTTTAAAATTACCACAAACATTTTGAAAATTTCGATGTTTTCAAAAAAATTTAAAATCTCCAAAATTTCCGATTTTTTTTAGAATTTCCTAAATTTTCCAAATACCCATTTTTTTAAATCTCCAAAATTTTAATTCAAACAATTTTGAATTTTTATTTATTCTTCCAATTTTTAAAATTCTTGTCTTAAAATTTACAAAATTTTTAAAATTCATAAAAATTTTCTAAACCCAATCTTTCTTAAATTTCCATAATTTTTAAACTTTCAATTTTGAAACTAAAAATTTTTCAAAATTTTGAATTTTCAAAATCTTTACAATTTTAAAATTACCACAAACATTTTGAAATTTTCAATGTTTTCCAACATTTTGAAATTTTCAATGTTTTCCAAAAAATTTAAAATCTCCAAAATTTCCGAGTTTTTTTAGAATTTCCTAAATTTTCAAATTCCAAATTTTTTTAAATCTCCAAAATTTTTGTTTTTTAATTTTAAATTTGCCCCTACCATTGCAAAATTCGCTTAACCTTTAAAATAATTTTAAACACAAAATGTATTTTGTAACATTCCAAAATGTGTTTAAAACATTTTTGAGGTTGAAAAAACAAAAATATCTCACCACTCCGCTGTCGTCGGCCAGCATCATCTGCACGATGGCCTCGGTGTTCCTCTCCCAGAAGAAAACGTTCCCGCAATCCGATCCGCTCACTATGAACTCGGAGCGCGGCCCGAAGAAGTTGACGCCCTTGATCGTGGCGCCGTTCCTGTGCCCCTGGTACTTGTGCACGAAGGCGCCCTTCTTCTGGTCGTTCACGTCGAACAGGTAGATGTCGGCGTCGTTGTACGAGGCGAGGATCTCGCTGCCGTCGTGGTTGTACACTGCGCAAGTCACGTGCAGGTTGCCGTGAAAAAACTTGAAATTTAAATCACACGTCACGGAATAGATTTTTTTCCTGAGCGAGTTTTTGTCACAGAACTCCCAAACCGCTGAGTTTAACAAAATTTACTTAAGAATATTTTTTGAAGAAAATTGAATGCTCTACAAAAAAGGTTTGATTGGAATTTCCCGTCAGATGAACCGTTTCCTTAAAATCATGCCTTAAAAATTGGCATAGTTTTACATTTTGATCTTTTAACTTTGGAATTTTGTAATTCATGTAAAAATCAGTACCCATAAAAAACCCGATAAATATTCTTATGGGAAATCAAATGCTTTACAAAAAAAGCCTCTTAACATTTTTAGCTAAATTCACTCAATCAAAAGTTATTCAAGGTTAAAATTGAAGTCAAAACGAAATTCTTGTTTTTTTTTGATAATTTCATTTTTTTATTCATAAATGTGTATAATATAACTAATTAACAATTCCCCATAAAAAACCAACATGATTGTTATTATTTAAACGATTAAATAGGTAACAGTGAAAATAATATTTTCTAAAGAAAATAGCTTCTTAAAGCGAAAAAATTGTAATGTGTTATTTTTTTTTAATTTTCAGTAATTTTATCAATAACATAAAGATTATCATCGATAAAAGAATCCAAGTTTTTCACTGACCCAAATAAAAATCTAGAGCGGAAAAAACAAGAATTTCGTTTTGACTTCAAACTTAACCTTGAATAAATTTTGATCGAGTGAAATAAGCCAAAAATGTTAGAGTACTTTTTTGTAGAGCATTTGTTTCCCATAAGAATACATATCGGTTTTTTACGGGTACTGATTTTTACTTGAATTACAAAATTCCAAAGTTAAAAGATCAAAATGTAAAACTATACCAATTTTTAAGGCATGATTGTAAGAAAACGGTTCATCTGACGGGAAATTCCAATAAAACCTTTTTTGAAGAGCATTCAATTTCCTTCAAAAAATATTGTTAAACTCAATGGTTTGGGAGTTCTTAGACAAAAACTCGCTCAGAAAAAAAAATTAAAATTGCGATGATAGACCTCTTAATATTAATATTACGGACTTAAACTTTCACAATAATATTTTGTTGTCACCCCAAACAATATTTTTTATATACTTTACAAAAAAAAATAGTCGATTTTTTTGGCCCAATCTAGTGGGCAGTCCCCAGCCAATTCATAAGACACTCTTTGGTATAAATATATAAATTAATAATAATATTTTCAAAAATTTTTGTTTTTTCCAATTATTCTGTTTTTTTACGAAATTTTTAAATCTCGCGAATATTGTAAAAAATTGTTTAAATATAATAAAAAAAATTGATTTCGCTTACTTCTACAAAAGGAAAATATCTTCCCAATTCCTTATCGGTTTTTCTTTGATCATAGGTCCTAACAAAATGGTCTCTACCACTCACGCAAAATTCGTTGGTTTTTAAGGGATTACAATGAACACTGTACAGGGCGATTTCTCGTTCGTCTTCTCTAACATTAACTACCTAAAAATTAAGAAAACAAATATTTGCCGTAAAAAAACTCCACTAGACCAAAATAATTATTTCCGGAAAAAAAATACAATTTCAATACAAACTTACTTTGGTTGGTTTTTGTCGTCTGACGTCATGACTGAGCACCAGGCCGTCTTCGCCGGCGCTGAGTAAAACTTGGGGTTGGTCGTTGATCAAGGCAAGCTTGTGGCAGGGCCCCCTGTGGGCCCCCATTTTACGATTTTCGCGCACCCCTTCCTCTCTGCACACTCTCGTTAAACGAACCTGGAAACGAAGCTTCCTGTAAAATTGAACGTCACGCGTGAGTCGCGTCGATGCGTCAGTGTGTGCGTGCGACGCGTGTAAAAGTGACGTAGAGAAAGTCATAAATGAAAGGATTTGACGAGTAGAAAACGATTTTTTGGGTGAAAACAGCCAAAAGGTTTACTCATCCTTCGTGATCACAACGACTCTAAACCGTTTGTTTTTTTTTTTTAAACAAACTGTTAATTAATGAAAATTTATCAAAAAAAACTAAAATGAAAAAAAATGGAAATTACCTTTTTTTTCTCAAAATTTCAAAATTGTTGAAGTTGCAAAATTTCCACAATTTTAAGAAATTACAATTTTTTTTTAATTTTTGAGTTTCAAGATTGGAAAAGTTTGAAAATTTAAAAAAAATCAAATTTACAAAAATTTTTAAAATCTCAAAAGTTGCCATGTTTTTAAAGTGGATTTTTCTCGAAAACGGTCAACTTCAGAGCTTTTGACCAAGAGTACCTTTATTGTGTAGAAAACATTGGCGGTTCGAATGGGCCTCTCAAAACCGTACTTTTTTCAGGGGCGTAGAAGTTGAGGAAAAAAACACCCGCTACCCCTTCAAAATCTCCACCAATTATGAGTAAAAAATGCTTACAAAAGCTGTTTTTTATACGATAAACGGTTCCGGAGATATTCGAAAAAAACGTTTTTTTTTTCTAAAATTTCAACACCCTGTATCTCGAAAATTGTGCATTTTAGAGGGTAAGTTAATATCGACTTTTTTAATCTTTTTGGATGAGCTATCACATCCTGAAGTCCTGCGCATATATTATGAAACACCCTGTATAGTTAAACCTATCAAATGTTCGCAAATAAAAACGACAATACTCATTTATCTGTCAAACTTTGACAGTAGATTTAATTTTTTTTTGAATTTTCATAAAGAGGCAAAAATTTTCCAAAAATTTTAAGACTTATAGAAATGGAAATTTTTATAATTTACCAAATTTTTGGAATCTCAAAATTGGAAAATTTTGATAATTTAAAAAAAAATTAAATTTAGTTTTTAAATTTCCAAATTTTTAAAATCTCAAAATTAAAAATAAATTGAATTGCAAAGTTTTTAAAAATTTTGCAAATTCAAAATTCCCAAAGTTTCATATTTTCCATAATAAACTACTTAAAATAATATATAAATTTACAAATTTTTCATACATATCTCAAAATTTCAAAAAAATTAAGTTGCAAAGTTTTTAAAATTTTAAAAAATTTTAAAATTCCCAGTTTCCAAATTTTTCATACTAAACTACTAAGAATATAAAATGAAATTTAAAAATTGTCAAGATATAAAATACGCAATTAAAAAAAAACAATGAAAATTCATGTGCAATTAATAAAAAACGAAAAATACTAAAGGTAAATAAACAACTAAATATACTTAAATGATCCATATGTACCCACCTATCAAATGTTCGCAAATAAGAACGCCAATACAAAAATTGTAAGATTCCAAAATTTTCGATTTTTTTTTAAATTTTTAGAATCTTAAAATTTTGAGTTGCAAGATTGGAAAAATTTGAAAATTTAAAAAATCCAAATTTTTTAAATCTCAATATTTCAAAAAAATTTAAATTGCATAGTTTTGTAAAATTTTGCAAATTGTAAACTGTAATTTAAAAATTGTTAAAATATAAAATCCGTAAATAAAGAAAAACAATAAAAATTCATGTAGGTAAATAAATTAAAAAAAAGGAAATAAACAAAACAAAAATAAATGATCCATATGTATTAATCTATAAAATGTTCGCAAATAAAACTGTAATTTATCTGTGAAACTTTGACATTGGATCTGTCAAAGAGTTGCTCACCTGTCCGTCCCTGGCGCAAGTGGCGATGTGCAGATCGCCGCTCAGATTGAGAAACTTGCTCTGAAACACGTTCCCCCTGTGCTTGGTGTCGTACTTGATGAGGCACTTGCCCACCTTCCAGTCCCACAGGCACACCTTCAGGTCGTCGGAGCCGCTGGCCAGCAGCCCGCCGTCCGGGTGGAAGTTGAGGCTGTTGACGCAGCCGTCGTGCTCCTCCAACTTCGACATCAGCTCGAGCCGTTGCACGTTGCGCAAAGAGCCGTAGCAGCGGCGCTGGAACAGCTCGGACCCTTGCAGTCTGGCGCTGCAAATACAGGTCGCGGTCAGCCGTGGAATGTGCGCAATGCAGGTTGCGCACAAACGCGAAAGTTGATGGTTTTAGGGGGTTCATTGAGTGTCAATGATAGTTTGATTCATGGTACAAGAAAACAAGTGGGTTACATTGAATAGTCTTTGCCGTTTTTCGATCAGACGCACCATTAATTAGTTATTAATAAAATAAAGTAGCCAAAGTAGAAGTGCGAGAACTATAATGTGCAGCTTAATATTAGAAATTCTATAAAAAATCATAGTGTAAAATGACCTTAATTATATGGTTGACATTTTCACTGTCAGTGTTTTAGTTTCTAGGTTAGTTTTAACTTGAGACATCCTTTTTGTGGCCCTAATACAGTTTAATAATCGTTTTAAACGTTGTGTTTCTTACAGAGAACAACCGTTTTACTCCTCTTTTGGTAAAAATAAACCTTATTCTATCAAGACTGTCATTAAACTGTCAAATTTCAATTTTTAGGTTAATTTACCATAACCCACAAATTTAAATTTGATAGTTTGATGACAGCCCTGATAGAATAAGGTTTAAAATGGTTGTTCTCAGAACTTAAGGCCTCATTTGAGGCTTACAAGTGCCTCTGTAAGAAACACAACGTTTAAAACGATTTTTAATCTGTATAGACATAAAAATAGCCGCCGTTAGATTCTGTGCATTGTTGCAGTGATTTTTAGAATGCGCGAGACAAGATAAAACAGGGTTTGTTGTGTGGATTGTGATTATTACATATTCATTCAAATATCTCTAATTAAATAAAAATGTTAAAATTAACTAATATTAATATTAATAAAATAATTATTTCACCATCAACCTTGTATTAACTTATTTATTAAGTCGCAAGTTAAACAAAATAACAAAAAATAAATAATTTAGGTTAATATTTTTGTTTGTTTGTTCCATTTACTTTGAAGATAGTTAAGAAAAAAATTGGATTGAAAAAACATACAAGCTTCATTCCCTTAAAAAAGTGGATACAGTTCCAACTTTTCACATAACAGAATATCTATAAAAAAAAATCAAGAACTTTGTAAGAAATTAAAATAAAATTGGAAATACCATATCAGTTCTTTTTACAGTGTACAAAACCAGGAAGCATAACATTATAACAGCCCATAACAGAAACTCAAACTGTAAGAAACCAAGTACTGCAGTGTAAGAAATTAAATTAAAACTTGTAAAACAAAATTAATAAAAATTAAATCTTTTTTTTGCAATTGTGAAGGAAATGTGCAGAGACAAGGAAGCTAGAGATCTTTAAGGTCAGTCCATAAGCATTAGAAAACCAGCTTATACCATTAGTTTTTTTTATTCAATGTTGGCTCCATGGTGCCCAATTTGGGGTTTTTATTTGGCAACTAAACCTAAATTTCAATTATTTGTGAATACAATTTTGTAATAAATAAATTTAGAAAAAATATGTTGTTTACATTCAATATTTCACTTATAAATGGCTTTAAAACAAGATATTTTATTTGAAAACCCATTATTTAAAACATTTAACCTAAAAACTAAAATTAAATTTTTCTTAGCACTTGGACAACAAATAAAAAGAACCTTTTAAGGAGTTTTGGCAAAAACGTGAAATAAAAAACGAAAAAATCATTTTAAAATAAAAAAAAATATGCTCCTACCTGTAGCCATTTTGCCTTCCACTAAGTTCTTTTATAGCAAACCAATTGTGTTTAGGTTTTTCTTTTTTTAGAACTGCACATTCTTCGTTTTCAGAGTCCAAATCGCTTTCTGATATGATAACAGTCGATACAGAACTTGCTGGACTTCCAAGTCCCAATTCATTCTCACTTTCCATTGTAGGAACTGTAGCTTCATCGTCAGCATCATGTTCAGAGTTACTTCTAAACAAGTCAATGTAATTTATATTATTGTTTCAAAACTTTGCGAAATTCACACATAAAGAGTTATTGATTTTTTAATGTGTTTTTATCTGACATTTAAAATTCTTAAGACAGTTATAGGTATCTAGCATAAGTTGGCTTGTGGAAAATTAAAAAAAAAATGTTAAAAAATAAACTTGTTCTTTAAAGTTGACTTTTGTTACTTTAAATTGTTAACATTCACCCCTATTCATTGTCATGTTATGAACCCACTGTTATAATAATGAATGAATATAAAGTGACTGTACTCTTAGGTTATAATACCTGTCTTCATCATCGTTGGTTCTTGTTCTGTAGTTTCGAGCCCTGTTCGAAATGCTTCTAGGAAACCCACTGTCGTTGCTTGTGCTGGCAGATTCTTGTTCCGTGTTGTTCGACGACGACGATGAGCTCTCCTCGGATTTTTCCTCGGTTTTCATGCGTTTTCTGTCAGTCGAATTTTCTTCCATGTTTATTTTTTATTTCTAAAAATAAAACACTAAAAGACGCAGTTGATTTTTTGTGTCTCTTATCGCACGTACTTTCGATTGTTTCGGTTTGTGACTGCACGAATGTTTTCAACGATTATCTTCCGGTTAATCGTTAAACATTTCCAAAACAAATTCCTCTTGTTTACTTGCAATAAAAATGATAGATGTCATATGGGCGCACTGTTGCCAACTGTTCTTCGATTTTGTCACTGAAAGTGTGAACTATAAATACCCTAGATTGATTTAAAAGTTATTCCATTTGGTTTTATTTAATACTTGTTTACGTAAGTTTAATATGAAACAATGATTGTTTTTAAAGATAATATTATATAATTTTATTATTATTATATTAGGTATATATCCCTTGTACATTTTTGAATGCCTATTTTTTATACTATATTTATAGGTACTCGTAGTACCTACTTATTAAAATATGATAAATTTATATTTTGTGAAAAAATACTTCATCAAACCTAATAAAGAAAAAGCAAAAATTAGTAGAATTTTATCGCGACATCTACAATTCTATTTATGCAAAAATTGGCGAATGCGCCAAATATTTTATATTGTTTAGAATATCCCGGCGAATTCGCCATTTTTGCAAAAATAAAAAATGCCGCGTTGATCATTTCTGTTTTTTTTCTTTAGAAAAATTTTGGGATATACAGGGTGTCCCATAATAAGCGTGCAATACAGCAGATTCCAAGTATAATTTAAAAGGTAACGACGTACACGTCATAATTTTACGCACTGTTACCAATACTAAATGTATAAAACGAAGTCTGTAATTGAATATTTTAATCACAGATCTGTGATTTTAATGCATTTTAACCAAATTAAGTTGGCAGCAAAGATAATATGTATTATCTTTGGTTGGCAGCACGTTTTAGCCTTATGTTCTGTGGTTTTAGCTGTCAGTTATGTTTTTGAATATTTAGTTTAATTCTTGTATAATTTCGTTTATTTTGTTTGTTGTTTGTGTTATTTTATATCGTTTAAGTTTTCATTGCCGTTTTTGTGTTTGTAATATATCATTTTTTTGTATTTTCTATATTTAAAATGCCGAAGCATTTCAATAGTCGGAGTCAAGAGTTGGTATCATCCTTAATACGCTATTTTGAGGCAGAACGGGATAATAATGGACCTGTTAGAGAGGTAAATAAGATTATTATTAATTATATATTAGAATATTTAACAAAATATATGTTGGATACGTAAAATAATAATATATAGGTATACCATGGTATGCAGAGACTGACTTTAGATGAAAAAATTTCTAGGTTTTATAGCTGAAAATGTCTTTAAAAATGGCTACAAACTTTTGGCGGTGCATCATAAGGGTTATAAAAAGTTTTTATTAAAAACTCTGACTTTTGACGTTTTGGTATTCTAAGGTCCCAAATCTAGGGACCCTATGGTATTATTTATGTAAACGCCATCTATCGCCCTGTAGTTGCACTACCACGTTCACTTGATGCAACGATTTTAGCATCAAATTGACATGTTCTGTGTTGACAACCGTGTCTGATCAGCTGATTGATAACGTGTACGTAGTTTTAAATTTACTATAAAAAAGTTTCTATGAACATAAGTCGAGAAATGCTTCCTAAGGAAGCTACAGCCCCTGATATCATATGATGGTTTTTATTTATAGAAAAATTAAATTTTTGAGAGTTGATCAAACTTCTGTTACGTTGCATGAAATGTCACCTGTCTTGAATATTTTTCCTAAACATGGCCCAAGCCGAATCTCTGGTTGTGATTTCATTATGAATTTTTATGTCATTTAAGGTAAATTTAAAATCGATTTTAAGCGAAAATGGTAAGGATCTTTTTTGTGTGCAGTCCTCCAAAATAAAATAATCTGACCTCAAATTATTATTTAAAATTGTTTTTTTATTTAAAATCATCATTAAAAATAATTTAAAAATTAGGGCGGGAAAAATCCCTCTATTACCGCCATCCTGCCGCCCCGAAAAATCCTTCGATGAGCCGCCGCCGTGGCAAAACGGCGGCGGCACATAAAACAAAAAGCGACGAACAAGTCTCCGGGCCCGGCGCGTCCCGAATCCACGACGTTGGACACATGCGCGCGCACCAGACGGCCTAGTAACCGACCCGAACCAAATGACAATCGACGTGCAACAGCCCAGTTGATGAATCTTCTCTCGGCCGCGCGCACACACAATGTCCGAGTTCCATTCATCCGCACACAAAACGAAACAACGGCCGCAGTAAACGACGTTTAGCGACATTAAACGCATCACGTTTGTCTCAGTAACCTCGGCTCATTCACCTGACGTTTTGATCGTTTGGAATCCAGCAAGCGTTCGGTACTTGTAGCCCACGATAATGACAGTTCACTGAGGTGATTGTTTGGCGATGTAGGATGACAGTTGTGCGTGTAAATATCGTTAGGGGGATGTTGTGATTGAATTGTTCGAAGCGAAGAGATGGCGACAGCGGCCGCCGCCAGGGCCGCCTCTTTTCCGACCCAACAAGCAACAAATGCCGTCTCGCTGAAACCGATCGAGGTGCCTCCTACCCTGGTGCAGGGAGAAAAATTCATTAAGTGGGATGAGGTAAGGAACGCAAGCTACCAAACTGGTCCTTCGAACCGGATCCTTATTAGACAAGTATCCCAATTGTACATTTTTTACTGCAAAATATAATACCACCCTTGAAAGAAAAATTGTTCACTAAGACAGCAAACATTTTTTACAATTGTATTGGAATCACCCTTATACTAATTTTTAGATTTAACTATAATTTATTTATTATTAAAAACTTTACTTGATAGAAGAAGATGACTAAAGTGTTCCTTCATGCCATTTAAAATATTTGATGTGAAACCAATTATTTAAAACTAAATTTCTGGTAATTTGTCATTTCTAGTTATATAGGTACATACAAATATAACACAGTTTGTATGCATAGTCTTATCAAATTTATATTAATTCATTAAGTGGGATGAGGTAAGGAACACAAGCTACCAAACTGGTCCTTCGAACCGGATCCTTATTAGACAAGTATCCCAATTGTACATTTTTTACTGCAAAATATAATACCACCCTTGAAAGAAAAATTGTTCACTAAGACAGCAAATCAAGAATTTAAAAAATAATTGTTGTTTAACATTTTTTACAATCGTACTGGAATCATCCTTATAATAATTTTTAGATTTAACTATAATTTATTTATTATTAAAAACTTTACTTGAGAGAAGAAGATAACTGAAGTGTTCCTTTATCACATTTAAATATTTGATGTGAAAGCAATTATTTAAAACTTAATTTCTGGTAATTTGTCATTTCTAGTTATATACATACATATATAACACAGTTTGTATTTATAGTCTTATCAAATTTATATTAATTCATTAAGTGGGATGAGGTAAGGAACACAACCACCGTTCTCCAAGCTACCAAACTGGTCCTTCGAACCGGATTCTTATTGAAAAAGTATCCCAATTATTCATTTTTTACTGTAAATTGTACCCCATGCGTATTTATGTACTACGAATGTAGGATATTTTAATTGGACACCAGCGAAACTTACGAGTGTTAAATAAAAATAAGTGCCTAGAAAATTTGATAAACGAGTACAATAATTTAAATATTTGATAGAGCGACATCTGTACAAATAAAAGTTAATCAAAATTGGTGTTGGGAATCTGTTTTGCCGGCTTAAAGTGTCGTTATAAAATATAAAATTTACTTTTCCTACCACTAAGCATAACTATAAACATATTCTACTACAAAATATATTATAAATACTATAAAACAGCAGATTATAAAAAAACATTGACTTAAAAGATACCCTACAATAATTTATTTAAAATATCCACAAAATATATGGGTGATTCTACAAAAGTTCGGCAACTTTTGACCTCATTTTGTTTATATAGTTTTCGGAGAAAATTAAACAGTATTTTGTTATGAGAACATAGATAATATAATAAATATACTGTTCCAGACCGGGACAGTCACTTTTTCAAACAGTTTCTGAAATATCTGGGTTTTCTAAATTTGAGTATTTATTGCAACTTTGAGCATATTATACATTAAATATCTTAAAATCAAATAATACCACACATCAGTGGCGGCTGGTGGATTTTGGGTATATCGATATCTCACTACTTATTAGATATGGGACCCCCACCAAATTTATATGAGTTTATAACGACATTAAATAAACAAGTTCTGCGCAAGCAGAATTTAAATTGAAGTTTGCGAAAAAAAGATAACCGAAACATCGAACATGAAACTGACGACACGGTACTGATGAATGGGATACAAATTTGAGATTATAATTCGGAATTCAGTATTTTACTGATATTTTTTATTAGTGGATGCTACTTATCAACAAATCACACATAGCCTTATATAAATTACAATGAAATATATACTACTCCCCACAGTACTGAAATTTTGACTGGAACTATACGTGCATTCACCACAACTTCGCCGCTTGCATTGTTTTCAAGATGGCTGTCGTGCAAAGGGCGGGCTCTGTAGGTAATTTTTTACACTTGACACATAACTGACGGGTAAAAGTGAGAACAAAGATTATCAATTTTTTAAAAATTGCTATTATTCGAATCTATGATAAAATATGAAGAATGCATTGTTTAATGTTTGTAGTAAAATTGAAAAATTTAAGATATATATTGAATATATTTTAAAATAAAATCACTCAAATATTTGATTCAGGAGTTGTGACACGCCAAGGTACTGATGTTTTGAATATTTATTATGTTTTTTACAAACGTGCTTTTGAAAAAATACATTAAAATTGGGTGGACAAGTTAAAAAAACCTGGATCTTTTGTAATATACTAAAATATTTACAAAAAATATTAAAATACCTACTCTATTGACTGATGACATCAAGTTGTCCAACTTTTGTAGAATCACCCGTATGTTGTTTTATGTTAGGTATATTACTTAAGTAAAAATTCTACTAACAAGAAAACTTATTAATGTTTTAATAAATTATTTTAATTTTAGCCACAAAAATAATTTTATACCAAATTTTACTTATTCCTTAAAAATGTATTGCCGACATAATATTATGTAAATAAACTGTTTTTTGAATTATGACAACAAAGTTTCTCTGAGAACTTACAAACTTAAGTCCATTAAATCTTATCAGGGCAAGTGCATTATTTAACAAACTTGTAATGATGTCCATAACACTAATTTTATCACTTATGGGAAGAGTACACTTTAAAATTATACAGGATGATTAAATGCGCTGTGATAAATTTCTTTTTTAAACTTGTATGAAGTTGGAAATAGTGACTTTTGGGCATTTGGACAAGTATAGTATGCAACTTATCCAGACACACGTTTTTATTAAACACTCGCTCGTGCCTAATAAAACTCTCAACTTTCATACATTTAGTTTGTGAAAAACTACTTCTGTTTCGATTGTTAGTCTATTTTCAAGGTATAAGTTTTGTTTTACCCCACACATGGTACGTTGGGTTTTACAAAATAAAATAAATAATTGTTGATAAGACATTCTAAAATGAAAATAATTAGTTTTTAAATGCCAACACTACGTGTAAAAATTTCCATCTCAAAGATAATTAGAATTTGTTATAACAATACATATTTTAACATTTTGTTGTTAAGTAATTGTATTTCTATTCTGTTGCGAAGAAAGAGAACCTGTTTTAATCGTTTCAATTTTTACGATTATTATATGAACTTGACCCAGAAAACGAACGTAGATAAAAATAACACAAAAGGTTCGTAAAGTAAAAGAGCGCGATCGAGAAAATTATTTTTCAAAATTTAAATGGTTTTGATTTTAGCAGAACACCCAATGTCCAAAGAAAGTGGATCTTTTCTGTACAGCCTGAAGTTAGCTTTAAGTTGGCAAATGTCATAAAATCGTCAAAATAAAGTTTCCTTCTTGTGAAATAATACTAAATGTGGAAATTATTTTCTTATCTCAATACAAAAACTAGTATTTGCAGGTAAAGCATTAAAACTTTCGGTGTACCCACTTTCACAGTGAAAACTTGCTTCTATTTCGGATTTAAACAGTTGTTTGTCCATTTTCGAGCGAGAAATTTCGATTTTTACGAAAAAATTTGACCAATTTGATTACTCTATTTCCGTATAGATGTCGCCTCTGCACAAATAAATTAATTTCACATATTAGACAATTTTAAGAAACAGTTTTTGACAGCAGATCTGCTGTTTCGAAACATTTTCAGTTTTTTTATTCGGAATTTGACGACATCAAAAATTTGGGGGTTTAGTTGGCAAATTCTAGGGACCCTAAATTAATAATTGGCTACATTGAATAAAACTAAATTATTTAGTGTATTTATGCACCACAAATATTAATTTCATTATTTGTATTATTTGTATTAATGTATTATTATCGTTGGCATTGTTTATTATAATTTTAAGAATTAAATATTAATTGCACAGTAAAATTAAGGCCTTGAACAGAAGTACCAATTTTAAATATTAAAAGTTACAAAGTATTGTTTTTGAATTTTGTTTCAGGTGCTTCTTTTTGGACCCCTGTATACAAAGTACTTTGAAAGTGGTATATTATGTATATTTTAATCATGAAAAATACACAATATTACAAGATTTTTATTTTATTTTTACATATGCGTATGTACACACATCCTGTGCGATCAATTAGTGATTTTTATCGGGTTTCTATAAAAATCATTATCATATCAAATGAAACCTAAATAAACCATTATCAAGTGTATTAACGATGTAATTAAGTGGTAGCACTCGAGACTTCGAAAGCTTCCCGATAAAAATTTATTTGAACAAACCATATGTTTTTTAATCTGTTTTGTATACAATTCATATAACGAAAAACAGTTTTCATGCAAAAAAAAATAAAAAATAAAAATGATCTTGACATCGACAAGCATGCTTGATGACCACCATTATATTTTCCACGATTATTATAAGAAAAACAACCAAATTAGTTTTTGCGTAATTTTCCACATAATATACCGCATAACGAACTGTAATTCAAACCAAATTATGGGGAATTAGCTTGCAGCGATTTGGCACGCAGTTGCCATTTTTGACAGGATAAATAAATTTTATATTAAGCATACACTGTTTAAAATATCTGTGGTGTGAAGAGTAATCTTAAAATGGTGTCAAAATCCAACACCAAAACGGTGTTTATCTAAAAATATTTGAGAAGTGCCCCTACACAGAAAAAAAGGAATAGTTCATTTAACTATATTAATTTAGTTGACCCATAAGTATTTATTTAAATCAACTGTGGGAAGGTTAATATAAACAAAGATTAGTACTAAACCAGATAGTTATTTTATTTTTTTTAAATTGGTTAAATTAACCCAGAAAACTTTAGTGAAACCAACCCGCTGTATGGTTCAGTTTACTAAATATGCTGTTTGTAAAATAAGAGTTACTTCAACCTAAAGCACTCTGTTAAAACGATTAAAACAATTTGCCGTGCATTCCTTGTTGCATAGTGTGTACCGATCGCGGCAAAGGTGGTGTGGATCACGTGATGTTCTTAAATCTCGCCTCTGTTGACTTACATGAAGAGTATATAAGCTC